GGAAAGATATGAGTCTCTCAAGGGGGTAGACCCTACATTCCTGAGGAACGTGCGCTTTGCCAAGAAGCACAACAAGAAGGGCCTGAAGAAGATGCAGGCCAACAATGCCAAGGCCATGAGCGCACATGCTGAGGCTATCAAGGCCTTGGCCAAGTCCAAGGAGCCCAAGCCCATGATCCCAAAGGGCAGCAGCTGCAAGCTCAGTAGACTTGCTTACATTGCTCGCCCCAAGCTCGGGAAATGTGCTCGGGCCCGCATCGTGAAGGGTCTCTGACTCTGCCGGCCAAAGGCCAAGGCCAAGGCACAAACCAAGCCCCAGGCTGTAGATGCAGCCGAGGTTCAGGCTCCAGCTCAGGCTCAGGCTCCCAAAGGTGCCCGGGCCCCTGCAAAGGCTCCATAGTGGAGGCCTCTGTCTGCCGACGTTAGGACAGAAGGACTGGTATGCCCCCAGGCTGGGGTCCTCCTGTGGTGTTAGTGCAAATAAACATGAGGCGGGGTCTGTCAAAAAAAAACAAAAAAAAAACCCCTTAAAAGTCAGTAATAATGGTTGCTAATGCTACTGTTGAGTTCTGTTTACATTTACATTGGTGAAATATTGTTATAAATATTTTACCACATTTTAAAAAAGATCTTATTTATTAGGCAGAGGGGAAGGGAGAGAGAGAGAGAGAGAGAAACATCAGTGTGTGGTTGCCTCTGTATGCCCCTAACTGGGGGTGTGGCCTGCAGCCCAGGCATGTGCCCTGACTGGGAATGGAACCAGCACCTCTTTGGTTTGCAGGCTGGTGCTCAATCCACTGAGCCACACCAGCCAGGGCTTGTCACATTTTTTGCTTCAAAAATTGTTTCCTATTTTCCTCCTTTAAACTTAGGTGTGTCTTATGGTCCCCAAAGTATGTTAATCCATTTTAGAGGGATAATTACTGTTTGTGGATTAAAAGGAGACAGAGAAAACCAGAAGTTCAGTTAGATATATTTTTAAAGATTTTATTTATTTTTAGACAGAGGGGAAGGGAGGGAGAAAGAGAGGCAGAGAAACAGCAATGTGTGGTTGCCTCTCATGCACCCCCTACTGGGGTCCTGGCCAGAAACCTAGGCGTGTGCCCTGTCTGGGAATTAAACCTGCGACCCTTTGGTTCTTAGGCCTGAGTTCAATCCACTGAGCCACACCAGCCAGGACCTGTCAGATATCTTTGAACTCTCTACATTCCCACATTCCATCTGTTCCCTAAATGGTGGGATGATAGTTCCAAAATTTAGGTTATCAGTGGATCAAGAGATACCAAGGGCCTCTGGCAGGTGTGGCTCAGTTGGCTGGGTGTCGCCCCACAAACCAAAAGTCCAAAGGTTTGATCCCCCCTCAGGGCACATGCCTGGGTTGCAGGTTCAGTCTCTAAGCTGGGGCCCGTGCAAGAGACAACCAATTAGTGTTTCTCTCTATGTTTCTCTCTATTAGTGTTTCTCTCACATCTATGTTTGTCTTCCTCTCTTTCTCCCTCCATTCCCCTCTTTTTCAAATCATTAAAAGAAAAACTAAAGCCCTGGCTGGTGTAGCTCAGTGGATTGAGCTCAGGCCTGCAAACCAAAGGATCATGGTTCAATTACCAGTCAGGGCACATGCCTGGGTTGCAGGCCAGTTCCCAGCAGGGGACACATGAGAGGCAACCATGCATTGACATTTCTCTCCCTCTCTTCTTCCCTTCCCTTCTAAAGATAAATAAGTGAAATCTACAGAAAATAAATAAAAAATTAAAAAAGATACCAAGGAAAATACATACTACTTAAAATTACAAAGGTAAAAAATAATAGTAAAAATATATAGGGCCAGTGAAAAAGAGAAGTACCAAGTGTAAGTGTGGTGAATACACATTTATCATAATAAGATATCAGTAGACAATGTTTGAAATGAAGAAATGGTGGTTTAAACCTATTGTGGGGTTATGAGTAGAAATACTAGAAAAAAACGGCTGAAAGTGATTGCCTCTGACAGTGGGACTAGAGGTGGAAATAGGGCAAGGGGTAACTATCTTTCATCCTTCTGTAACCAGGGGCTGGAACTACTTGTACTAAAAATACAAATAAGCGACAAAGAGATAGCCAACCTATCAGATGCAGAATTCAAAACACTGATTATCAGGATACTCCATGAACTCACTGTGTACTTCAACAGCATAAAAAAGACCCAGGCAGTAATGAAGATTGCATTATGTGTAATAAAGAAAAATCTACAGGGGACCAACGGTGAAGGGAAAGAAACCAGGACTGAAATCAATGGTTTGGAACAGAAGAAAGGAGGAAAGAAGCATTCAACCAGAACAGAATGAAGAAACAAGAATTCAGAAAAATGAGAAGAGGCTTAGGAACCTCTAGGACATCTTTAAACGTTCCAATATCTAAATTATAAGGGTGCCAGAAGGAGAAGAGGAAGAGCAAGAAAGTGAAAACTTATTTGAAAAAATAATAAAGGAGAACTTCCCCAGTCTGGAAAAGGAAATAGATTTCCAGGAAGTCCAGGAAGCTCAGAGAGTCCCAAAGAAGTTGGACCCAAGGAGGAACACACCAAGGCACATCGTAATTACATTACCCAAGATTAAAGAGCAGAGAGAATCTTAAAAGCAGCAAGAAATAAGGGAACAGTCACCTACAAAGGCGTTCCCATCAGACTGTCAGCTCATTTCTCAAAAGAGACCTTACAGGCAAGAAGGAGCTGGAAAGAAGTATTCCAAGTCATGAAAGGCAAGAACCTACATCCAAGATTTCTCTATCCCATTCATTTAGAATGGAAGGGCAGATAAAGTGCTTCCCGGATGAGGTCAAATTAAAGGATTTCACCATTACCAAGCCCTTACTATATGAAATGTTAAAGGGACTTAACTAAGAAAAAGAAGAGAAAAAATATGAACAGTAAAATGACAACAAACTGACAGCTATTAACAACTGAACCTAAAAACAACAACAACAAAACTAAGCAAACAACTATTACAGAAACAGAACTATAGAAATAGAGATCTCATGGAGGGTTATCAGAGGGGGAGTGGGAGGGGAAGAGAGGGGGAAAAGTTACAGAAAAGAAGTAGCATAAATGGTAGGTACAAAAATAGGAGGAGGTTAAGAATACTACAGGAAATGTGCCCTGGCTGGAGTAGCTCAATGGATTGAGCATGGGCTGTGAAACAAAGGATCGATCGCTGGTTCAATTCCCAGTCAGGGCACATGCCTTGGTTACAGGCCAGGCCCCCAGGGGGACCGCTTGAGAGTCAAACACACATTGATGTTTCTTTCCCTCTCTTTCTCCCTCCCCTCCCCTCTCTCTAAAAATCAAGAAATAAAATCTTTTAAAAATACCCTTAAAAAAAGAGAATACTATAGGAATGTAGAAGCCAAAGAACTTATATGTACAACCCATGGACATGAACTAAAGAGGGGGAATGCAGGTGGGAGGGGATGTGCAGGGCAGAGGGGAATAAAGGGGGGAGGAATGGGACAACTGTAATAGCATAATTGATTTATTTTATTTTATTATTTATGTATTTTATTTTAATTGCTGTTCAAGTACCATTTTCTGCTTTCTCCCCACATGCCATCCCAACCCCCCATCCCTCCCCACCTCCCTTCCGTTTCTATCCCCCCCACCCTCACTCTGTTATTGTCCGTGTGTCCTTTATACTTGTTCCTGCAGACTCTCTTCAACCTTTTCCCCTGAAATTCCCTCCCCTCACCCCTCTGGTCACTGTCAGCCTGTTCTCAATTTCAATGTCTTTGGTTATGTTTTGCTTGCTTATTTGTTTTGTTGATTAGCTTCCTGTTAAAGGTGAGATCATATGGTATATTTGTCTTTCACCACCTGGCTTATTTCACTTAGCATAATGCTCTCCAGTTCCATCCATGCTGTTCCAAAGGGTAGGAGCTCCTTCTTTCTTTCTGCTGCACAGAATTCCATTGTGTAAATGTACTATAGTTTTTTGATCCATTCATTTACTGATGGGCATCTAGGTTGCTTCCAGCACTTGGATATTGTAAATTGCACTGCTATGAACATTGGGGTGCATCAGTAAAATATATATATATATATTTTTTAATGTTTTATTTATTTATTTTTCGAGAGAGGGGAAGGGAAGGAGAAAGAGTGGGAGAGAAATATCAATGTATGGTTGCCTCTCATGCGTCCCCTGCTGGGAACTGGCCTGCAACCCAGGCATGTGCCCTGGCTGGGAATCGAACCGTGATACTCTGGTTCACAGGCCCGTGCTCAATCCACTGAGCTACGTCAGCCAGGGCTTAGTAAAATATATTTTAAAAATAAAAAAAAATCAAGTCAAAGCATGTTATGTTATTCGTGGTTCCTCACTGCCTGTAGAATAAAATCCAAGCATCTTAGAACCATCTTCTACAACCTTACTACTCAAAGTGTGATCCCTGGAGAATCTCGGGCCCCATCCCAGATTTAGGGAATCATAATCTGCATTTTAACAAGATTCGAAGGGAGTTCATGTGAACAGTCAAGTTTACAAAGCGTCAGTTTACTAGATCAAGCATGATTTGGCCCATGTAGACCTCTTCAGTTTCAATACTGTTGCTTCTCATGGACCAAACTTTACTTTTCCACTCCCTTAGTCTGTGTGCGGTTTCTACACCGAGGGTGCATGTGTGTGTGTCGATGGCCACCTCAATTCTAACCACAGTTGTAGATCCAGCTCTACTCTAGGAAGCCTTCCAAAACCTTCTGTGGCTCTCTGTTACCACTGTTCCTTAAACTCCTGTATCCATGACTGATGTGCTTAGCCTTCATTCAGCAAACATTTTTTGGGCACCTGCTGTGTGCTGCTAGATTGAATGCAGGGGTGGGGAGAAGGCGCTGAGCTCTCTGAATGCTCCTTTAGATACAAATCCAGAATCGCCCAGCCCAAATTATTCCAGGACCAGAGGTTGTATGCGCAGCACTCGAATACGTATAGACACACAAACACGGTTCTCTGCGCCGCTTTTCGGAGTGTTACGGCGCGCTCCTCCCTCCCCAGCGCCGCACGGGCGGGGACCCACCGGTTCCGCCCGGCACTAGCAGCGGAGACAGGAGGACCCCTGGGATCGGGACCCCCAGCGTCTGGTCGCCCAACTCTGTTCAGGCTTAGGCCCGCATGGAGGGGACTGCAGAGTCCCAGACGCCTGACCTGCGAGACGTTGAAGGCAAGGTGGGCAGGAAGACCCCCGAAGGGCTGCTCCGCGGGCTTCGAGGGGAACGGGAACCGGGAACCTCTGGAGCCCTGCTGCTCCCTGGGGCGCCTAGCACGGGCCAAGGCCTGGGGGACAAGATCATGGCGCTGAAGATGGAGCTGGTGAGTGTGGGCTCCACGGGCCGGGGTGGGGCAAGGCGGGTGGACCCGAGTATCCCTGTAGGGCCTGAAGGTACGACTCAGAGTTGGACTAGAGACGAGGGAATTAAAACTCCCCACTTAACTCCTCAGGATCTCTCCTAGGTCAGTCCTTACGCCCTGGGGTCCATTAATTGCCTCCCCAAGGGTGAGTGGGGTGTAGATGGGTCCTGAGGGCTTGGGGTAAGAGGCTCAGGCTCTTGGAAGTTTTTCCTACCAAATAATTGGGAGGGGAGAGATGAAGACTGGGAAGCCCTGAGAACCTAGCATAGCAGAAATCTCCCCCTGCCCCCCCCCTCCCCGACCCACAGGGCCATCTATCCTCCAGCCGCCATTATAGGGCAACCAGTTTTTTCTCCCCCTGCCAACTGGGTCCGGGGTTTGTTCTCCTGAGGCCCCCAGTGTTCATGACAGTATTCAGCACAGAATTGATTTGGGTGAAAAGCGCCTGAATTAGGGCCACTGAAAACATCCTCCCTTTCCCTAATATTCTCCCCATCCCTCTTAAAATATTTGAAGAGTTCCTAGAACCTGAGCAGACACGGGTAGCAGCACCGTCAGTGTCGGCTTCATCACCTCTGACTCAGTCTTCTCCCACCAGCCCCCAGAGTACACTGGATATTCGGATCTTAACTGCACCTCTTTGGGGAGAAGAGGAGGAAGCAGGCACCCTCACTCTTCTCTGTTTGCTGCTGGTCTAGATTGAGAGCCAGAAGGGCATTTGGGGCCCATCAGGTTCCCTAGGGCCCTGATTCCGGTGAAGGAGGTGATTTACACCTGCCATCACTTTACAGCCAAGTTCTGGGTAACTGTGGAATTGCCAGCTGCTGTCTGGCCCAGAACCAGAAAGCCACAGTGAGGATGTGAGTTCATGTCTTCCTGGAGCCCCACTGTGTGCCCAGCTCTGGGCCAGACTGAGCTGTGAAGGAGAGGCGGAGGAGTTCATGGGGGCTTCCAGAGAGCCTGAGAGGCTGAGAAGAGAGCCTTATGGGCAGAGCAATCAGGGAATGCTGCCTGGGGGAAGGATTTGAATGCCATGTGTGCACTTGGCCGAGAAGGTTGGAGATGAGCCCAATTCTCTAAAATAGTGCCCACCTAAGGGAGGGGACTGGCTTTGCCTCATAGTACAAACTTTAGCCTAAGGCCTACGAAGAGTCTGCCTGGAGTGCCTCGATTTGGAAACTAACTTTCACCAAGTGCAGTGCACAGCGTCATGCTAAACGCTCTTAATCTAGAGTGCTTAATCTCTTAATCCTCGTGGCAACCCTATTAGGTAAGTGATATTTTAAAGATGAAGAAATTGAGGCACAAAGAGATTAAGTAACTGTCCCAGGTCATATGAAAAGTAAAAAAAAAAAGCAGAGCAAGTCTTTGAACCCAGGTGATCTGCCTACACTTCATGTCTACCAGGGAGACCTGCTTTGTGCCAGACACTTGAAACACACGTCATTCAAGTGAGAAAAGCAGTCATTCTCGCCATCTGAGACGAAACATGCCGTAGGTGTTGAGGGACTTGCCTGAACTCGCGTAGGAGCTAGTGGAGGAGCCCTGCCTGCTTTTTCTGGTTCTAACTCTTTTCTCCCGTTGGTGGAGATGACTATTTGTAAACTTTCAGGAGGTACATTTAACTTCTGGTTAGGGCTTTCTTGACCCAGCCTGGCCTGGGACCCTTGGCTGCCCTCGAAGGGCTGGAGGGATGGAGCCTTCTGGGAGCCAGAACAGGGAGAGTCCCCCCCTGTGCCCCATGGATCCCTGCCCCTTTTGCTTCCCCCTTCTCAGGCTGGGATGTCATTGATCTCTATATACTGTGCCCTGCCCACTGGGTTGCACCCAGGGAGAACAAGGGGCAGGGCAGGGCAGGGCAGTGGGGGTTCCCCTGGACCCACTTGTGACACAAATGGTCCAAGCCTTCTAAGTACTGACCTTCAACTGTCCTTCCCCCAGCTCTCCAGCAGGGAGGGACAGTCTTGCCCTTGAGGCCAAGGACATCCCTGCTTCTAGGCCTCTTCCCTCCTGTTCTTCTCCCCTACTCGAAGGTTGGTGAACTGGCCAGACTCTGGGATATGTGGGAAGGGGGAACAATGGCAACCTCCTCTACTTAATGCTCCCACCCAAATAAAGTGTTGCTATGAGAACCACCCCACAGAAGAGTTTTAAAAAAAACCCTTAGGCAAGGAGTGGGGGGCATAGGTTCAAGTGCCTAGCTCTGTTCCTGAATCATTTTGTGATCTTGAACAGGGCCTCTCTCTCTTTTTCTTTTTCTCAAAGATTTTATTTATTTATTTTTAGAGAGAGAGGAAGGGAGGGAGAAAAAAGAGGGAGAGAAACATCAGTGTGTGGTTGCTCCTCATGTGCCCCCCACTGGGGACTTGGCCCACAACGCAGGCATGTACCCTGACTGGGAATTGAACTGGCAACCGTCTGGTTCACAGGCTGGTGCCCAGTCCACTGAGCCACACTACACAGGGCAGGGCCTCTCTCTTAACCTCAACTTTTCTGCTTCTTCCCAGAGGGTAGTGGGTGAGGGATTGTGGGACCAGATGATCTCTAAGAGCCTTTGTAGTAACAGTAGTCTGAGAATTTTAATCCATGACCAGGGATTTAGGACTGGGATCTCTGGGTTTTACCCCAGGGCCTGATTTGAATTGAGTGAAGAGGGAGCCATACTATATATGACCTCAGGGCTGGCAGATTCTGTGTTAAGGGGGTGGGGGTGGGAAACCTGCATCCTGCTGGGAATGGAAGTGGGTTGGAGCAGCCTCTGAGGCTGCATCTGGTCTGTGCTGTTTGTCCCCTTTTTGTTTCTTTCCAAAGAGGTGGTGTGAAATGAGTGTTCCTTTTTCTGGCAAGAAAGCCTTGCTTTCTTCTCTTCTGTGGAGTGATGCTGTTACAATCAGGGAATCCCACTATCGCAGGACTATAGAGTCCAGTCCTCAGACTCATTTCCCACCAACATGGTAAGACCCAAACCCCTGAACCCTGGGACCAGCAGAGGGGGCTGAGGATAGTAAAGAGCAGGAAATCACAGAACGGTATCTGACCTACCCAACCCTGGGCTAAGCACCATAAATGAGCTGGGCAGGGCCTGGGCTCAGGGAGCTCACAGTGTGGGTTAGGGAAGGAGAGAGACAGACTAATAACTCTAGTACAGGACAGTAAGTGCTGTTGGAAGCCAGGGAGGGCTTTCTGAGAGAGTCTTCATTACAGAGGGACAGATTTGTACTCTGAAAAGGCTACTTTGAATTGGAAGAGATGTGCTGTTTTCTCTGGTTGGAATGCCTCTTTCCATTGCTATGCCTGGGTAAGTTCTACTTAATTTTCAAGTCTCAGCTTATGTCCCGTATTCTAGAAAGTATTTCTTTATTTCCTTGATTGGGTTATGGCCCTCTAGGTACCCACAGCCCTAGCATTTGCTATGCTGAATTTTGCAAGTGTTCACATCATTGTCTTATCTGACCCACTAGACTGAGCTCTCTGAGGGCAAGAAATGGTCCCTTTTCTTCCTTTATCTAACACAATGCCATGCCTGTAAGAAACACTCAATAAATGTTCCACCCAAATAAATACTGACTGGATGGATTAATTCCATCTTGAGGAAGGTAGGGAAGTCTTCCTAGAGGAGGCAGCATTTGAGTTGGGCCTTAAAGAATGAATAAAATCAGTGGAAATTTCAGTGCAGATGGTACACTGAACACATTCATTTACCTACATTCCTTCCTAAACTCCACTAAAAAGCCAGTAGAAGGATTATTGTAAAAGCCACGAAACCATTATGGTGACGAGAACAGGAGAGATCATAGGAGGAGCAAAGTTTTGGAAGTTGAAAAGCAACCCATTTCACATTTCTAACACCTTCAAAGGTCTCAAGAGTTAGAAGCAGCAAGGATTTCTGGAACTGAGGGTGCAGGAGCTGAAAATAAAAGGGTTTTGGTGAAAAGGTCTGTTTTATGAATCATACCCTAAGGTCGCTTTCCTAACTGGGCAACCAGGTGCCAGTTGCTCCTTTATCCTAGCAGAACACTGAAGGCATAAGTGTTGGAAAGAATGGAACAGAAATCAGGAAAGAAGGGGAAGGGAGGAAGAAAGGATGAGAGGAAGTAAGAACAGGATCAGAAGGGAGGGAGGGAAAGAGGAAGAGGAAACGTAGCAGGAGAAAATTTTTAGTATGAGAAATTTTGTTTAATACATTTAGTTTGGTCATGGACTAGGACTTTTGGTTTCCCAGAAGGAATATATTTGTTCCCAGTATGAAATAATTGAAGGCAATCTATTTTACCTTGTCATTAATAGTCTGTACAGTCTGGTATTTCAGTTATTTATGTCTACATCTCCTTATTGAAATGGCAAGCTTTGTTAAACAAGGACAATTTCTCCATTATTTTTTTATATAAAGGCATTTTAAATATTTTATTTACTTATTTTTAGAGAGAGGGGAAAGGAAGGAGAGAAACATCAAACATCAGGCAGCTGCTTCTCACACGCCCCCAAGTGGGGACTCAGACATGTGCCCTGACTGGGAATCGAACCGGCAACCTTTCAGTCTGCAGGCCAGCACTAAATCCACTGAGCCACACCAGTCAGGGCTCCATTATTTTTGTAAATACTAGGAAATCCAGATACCCAATAATCATTTATTTAATTAAATTAGAGTCGTGATAGTCTTCCATAAGAATGAATAATCTCAAATACAAAATTTTGTTCTGTGTTTATGCCATAGTAAATAGATAACTATGATAATATATAAAGCCAAATAGTTATCATTCATTGATTAATGAATACTTATCAGGCAATATGCTATACGTGTTAATATGTTCCTCCCATTTCTTAAAATAAAACTTCAAATTTGATAGTATCCTAATTATATAGTGAAGAAATGAAGATTTGAAGGGGAAAAAGTCTATTTTAATGTGATTCTTTAATGGCAAAACTGGAATTTGAATCCAGGTCTGTTTAATTTCAGTGCCTATATTTTTCTCAATGTATAACCATTTGGTCTTATTGTGGTGTATTATTGTAGATGCAAATAAAGAAATTATTATTTTTTAAGGTTTTATTTATTTATTTTTAGAGAGGGAAAAGGAGGAAGAGAAACATTGACGTGTGACAGATACATTGGTCAGTTGCTTCTTGCCTCTCTCATGCCTCCCAACTGGGGACCCAGCTTGAAACCCAGGCATGTGCCCCGACTGGGAATCGAAACAGTGACCTTTCAGTTCGCAGGCCAGCACTCAGTCCACTGAGCCACACCAGCTAGGGCAAGAAATTATTTCCTGAATGATGTAATAAACACTTTTCAAGTGATATATATTTTAAAGATAATAGGACTGGCCCTGAATGGTGTTGCTCAGTAAGTTGGGTGTCATTCTGTAAGCCAAAAAGTCACAGTTTGATTCCTGGTCAGGGCACATTCCTGGGCTGTTGGCTAGGTCCCCTGTTGGGGGCATGCAAGAGGCAGCCAACTGATGTTTCTCTCACACATCAATGTTTCTCTCCCTCTCTTTCTTCCTCCCTTTCCTTCTCTCTAAAAATAAATAAATGAAATCTTAAAAACAAAATAGAACTGAAGGTCTCCAAATTGGGAAATACCAAGCAAAGTTGAAGACAGAAGGGTTTACATGAAAATGTACTAAATATTATGAAATACTCCTCCCAGCCTTTCTCCCTACTTGGCTTCCAGGACATTGTCAGCTTTGCTTACATTATACTCTCTAGATGAGTATAATATGGTGACTATGATGACCCAAAGGGGAAAAAAAGACAAAAAACACTGACTTCAGGCCTTACCCAATCAAACAGCCCAGCCAGATAACCCTTACTGAGATTCAGAGTTGGCAGGCCTCACACATGCACTCAGCGTTTCCAATCAGCTTTTTAAGGACCACTCTGAAGTGTGAGCAGTAGCTAAAAACTGTAAGATATCTGATGACACCCTCTAACCATGCAGACCTAAACAAAGAAAAAATACAACTTGAATAAAATGAGATAATACAGGGAAATGAAAACATACACAATTCATTAGTTATATCCTTAAAGAGATAAAGGAGAATATTGCACTGTGAACAAAAACAGAAAGGTATAAAAAAAGGAAATCATTCAGAAAACTAGAAACAACTCTGGGAATAAAAATATGATAGCAAAAAAAACCCAACAAACTCAATAGAAAGGTTCAAAATAGTTCAGAAACTAGAACAAACATAGAAATGGAAAAAGAAAAATGAAAAAAAAAATTAGCCCAGGTGTTCCTCTATCTAAATAATAGGATTTCCAGAAAGAACAAAGATATCGAAGGAGAAATAATTATTAGCCCTGGCTGGTGTAGCTCAGTGGATTGAGCGTGGGCCTACAAACCAAAGGGTTGCCAGTTTGATTCCCAGTCAGGGCACATGCCTGGGTTGTGGGCCAGGTCCCCAGTGGTGGGCATGTGAGAGGCAAACACATTGATGTTTCTCTGTCTCTTTCTCCTTCCCTTCTCCTCTCTCTAAAAATAAATTAATTAATTAATTAAATTTTTGAAGAAAGAAAGAGAGAATTGTTACACTTGGTCTTAGCCAGAAGGCCAAGAAACAATGCGGGAGAAATAATTATTAAAGACATAATAAAATGAAATCTCCTAGAGGTGAAGGACATGAGTTTCCAGATAAAAGGGCCCAGCAAGTAGCCAATTCAGTGGATAAAAATAGACGCACACCATGTTAAATTACTGTGATAATTTAGAACACTGGGAACAAAGAGAAGATCCTACCAACTTCCATAAAGAGTGGGAAGATAGTCACATACAAAGGATCAGGGATCAGAGTAGCATCAGATTTTTTAAAGTGTAACACTGAAAATTAGAGGAAAATAAAACTGTGTTAAATCTTGAGGAAAAATTATTTTCAACCTAGATTTCTATACCCAGCCAAATTGTCAATAGTGTGAAGAGAGAATAACAACATTTTAAAACACGTAGGCTTCAACAAATGCACTTCCTATGAAGACATAAAGTTGTAAGAAATGAAAAGTAACTATAGTAAACCACATGGCTTAGCTGTGAATAGCATTTCTAAAGTCTGATAAGGCAAACACTGAGTAATTAATTTATTGCATACATTGTATCTATTACTGCATATATGGGGAGATGGGGAGGGCGCAAGTATGGCAGAGGAATGGGGAGTAGGATGAGAGAGTTGAATCCTTAACCTTCTATCATGTGGGAAGCCAATAGAAAACACCTAAGACTTAAAAATCAGTAAGTAGCATGTTATTTGGAAATTAGAAGGTAAGTACCAAAATAAAAATTAATAGTTTTCTCTGGGAAGTAGGATTTAGGACAACAGGGAACTTTTCATTAAAAAAAAAACTTGCAGAACTGTTTGCCTCTTCATTCTACATCTGTGTATTCCTTTGATTAAAAGTAATACTAAATAAAAGGAAATTTAAGTCATGTGTGGCAGGACTTGGGGTTCCCAGGGACGTATGTTAGAGGTGAAGCTAGAGAGATGGAAAGAGCCATATTATGACAGCCGTTGAATGCCGACTGCTAAAGTGTTTAGATCTTATTTTCTAAGAGCAGCACAAAGCCCATAAAGGCTCTTGAGTCAGGAAGAAACAGGTTCAGACTTGTGCTTGGGGAAGATAATTCAGTGCATCTGAGTTGGAAGGGACCCTGGAGATTACTCAGTAAGTCAGACTTACTACCAGTACAAACAGGGAGAGTGGGGTGTGGTGGAAGGAAGCCCCGAATCCCCAGTCAGAAGGGCTCTGACTCTACGAAGCCCTAGCCAAGCCTTCCCTCCTTTAACAGTGGCTCCCAGCACTCTGAAGTGACTGGGGGACCAGATTAGCTCCCTCTTTATCCCCCAGATTTTGCCTTCTTTTGGTCCAGTCTACTTCTTGTGTAACACCTGGCCTCCTACCAAACTATTTTTTGGCTGTTTCTAAGTCTTACTGGTGAATCTGGACCGGTTCAATAGTCAATGGTAATACTCTGGTCTATGAAGTTCAGTGCTCAGTAGGATCAGATTTTAACACAGAGTCTGGCACAAATAATGCCCTCTTTTTATCACACAATCTTTTATTACAAAATCATACCCTTATAATTCTGTAACATAACAATATCACACTCAAGCACACCATATGACACTTTAGGTGAAATGTTCAAATTAAAGCTATACATTATTACACCCATATTATTATTACCCTACCAACCACACTTAAGCAGGCGTTACTTCTGCCAGATCCTGTATTTAACATTTACTGAGACCTTTCTCTATGTCAGGCACTGTGCTGAGTACATAATAGAGAGCGTCTTAAACTTCTTACAGCCACCCTGTGAGGTGAGTGAGTTAGCCCTATTTTACAAACCAGGAAACCGAGCCTCAGAAAAGGTAAGAAAGTTGGCCACGGTAATATAGATAATCAGTGGCAGAGGTGAGATTTTAAAACAGTAACCTGTCTTCTTCTAAGGACCACACTCTAGACCCTTCTATGTCCATGCTTTTTGAAAGTGAAATATAGTTGGTTGGACTACAAGGTAGGGGCCTCTGGAAACATTTGGAAAACTCACTGCCCGAAACCGGATTCTTTCTCCCATTCCCCCAGGCTTACCTGCGAGCCATTGATGTGAAGATCCTTCAGCAGCTGGTGACTTTGAACGAGGGCATTGAGGCGGTGCGCTGGCTATTGGAAGAGCGGGGGACGTTGACCAGCCACTGCAGCAGCCTCACCAGCAGCCAATATAGCCTGACAGGTGGGAGTCCAGGCCGCTCAAGGCGAGGCAGCTGGGACAGCCTGCCAGATATCAGCTCCACCGATCGGCTGGACAGTGTCTCCATTGGCAGCTTCCTGGACACCGTGGCCCCTGGCGAGCTGGATGAACAGGGCCCCCTTGGTGCTCCCCGCCCTGAGATGGACTGGGCAAAGGTTATACCTGGTGGGGAGAGGGCCAGGACTGAGGTGGACCTGACAGCCACCAAGCTAGGGAGCTTGAGGGCTGTGTGGAAGCCCCCAGGTGAGGGGCTCCAGAGTGGACCTCCTGAGCCACCAGAGGATGAGAGTGCCAAGCTGGGCTTTGAGGTCCACTGGTACTGGGGGCAGTGCCAGGATGATGTGACCTTCCTGTAACAACTTTTCCACTCGTGCACTGCTGTGGCTCTTTCTCCACTAGGCCCTGGTCTCCCTTAAAATTGATTCTCTCTTAATCTGGGACTAGAAAGAGGCTGCATTGAACTCAGTTATCAGGGAAACCTGGCCTCACCATCCCTCTGGTCTCTGGGGAGGCTATGCCTTTATCCCTCAATTACTGGGTCCATAGAGCTATTTCCATAGATACATTGACTCTAGAGGCTTGACCTGTGGCTCCTGGTGTGATGTTCTCACTTTCCTTTTGCCCTGTAATTAGGTAAGGATTTGAGGGATTTAGGACACTTAGGAGATCACTGAAAAAGAGATGGGGGTATAATGATCTCATCCAACATCTAGGAGCCTTGGCTTCCCCTCTTGGCCAAGATGCAGGACTGCTGAGGGACATGGACACTTGGGGCCACCCCTCCATGGATTGGCCTGCCCAGAAGTCTCTGGGGTCAGTAGAACCATTTTTCTTGTTTGGTGAGTGATGTCATTACCTGCCAGGATAGATTAATCTTTCCACTGTATCAGCCCTATGGTGGTGATAGGTCCAAATAGTGTCTGAACTCCTACTGCTAGGTGAGACCGTGCCACCTATTCTCCATACCATTGCTTCTTGTGAGGGAGAGTGGAACACTCCTCCTGGCAGGAAAGTTTCCCCCTGTTAGATGTCTGGACTTCTTTTCGGAAAGGTTCATACTTTTTAAACAGGGTGTTCACATTTTATCCCAGGTGGTCTCGTACCTCTGTGACCATATCCCTGTCTAGTGCCAGCACTCCTGTATCTGTGCTTCTGGGGAGGGAGACTGGCCAGGGCCTCCACCTGCTGCGCTCAAAGTCTGTTTGGCCTGCCCTGCCACAGTCCCCTGTTTTACTCTGTCCCTGGGTTGCCCCCGTTCTTGTATTCTGGTTCCAAATCTGACTGCCTGGAGATTCAGCTTTTGTGTCTCCACCCCTTCTCAATTTCCACATCCACTTCAGACCTCGGGCCTTTTATGTGCAGATGAGTCCCCCAGCCTCTTCTCCCCATTGCTGATGGGAGCCAGAGGGAGGAGGTGCTTGAGGTCTCAGAGCTCTGGAGGTGTCCCAGAATCCCCAAAGTGAGGAGGTGTCTGTCCTCTTCTCTAATCCTGTGATTTCCCCTCCCCCACCCTCTCCCAAACCCTCCACCATTTGGTCACAAGGACCTGCCCAGAGACTGGGACACAAGGAATCCCCTTGTTTTAGTTACAATGGAGGGGGGTGTGGCAGGGAAAGACAGAGGCTCTTTAGTCCTAGGGCCCACATCCTGGGGGGAGAGAGAGATCCAGGGAAAGGCCACTTCGCGTCCTCTGTCAGAGCAAGCCCTAGACTCCAGGACCTGAGGAGGGAGCAGGGGACTGCCTCCCAGCCCAGGTCCCAGGGCCCTAATCAATTACACCAAAGAAGGAATTCAGGAAAGCAGCCAACCTGAGGCTCAGGGAGAGGATGAGGAGATAAGGGCTGTGGCTGATGTTAAAGAATGAATTCTTGGAGATTAACCCTTTGAACCCCAGGTAACTGCCCACATGTTGGCCATTATCTTTCCTGGACCCTGAAACTAGATTACTGGCAGGCAAAAAGGAGAGAAAAGGATATCGGGTGATCCTCGCCTATTTGCTGTGCCCTCCTGAGTTGTAGGAGTGGTCCCCTAACCCTAGAGTAACTGCCGCAGTTTCTCTACTTTTTAGTCTATGCTGGGGAAGGGAAGGAAGCCAAGTGGATTATCTCTGCTTCCCCTAAACTCCAGTCCTGTTCTGCACTCCCCACCCAGTCATTTGGGGGCAATACATTCAGTCCATGGCTGTCCCTTTCTAAAGACCCTCTCTCCTCTTCCTGTCCCCTTAATGTGACTGAAATCACTGAAATATATTCTTAGCCTCTCCTCTGCTGTCCGCCAGCCCTTTCCTTACCACCCCAAACCTCAGGCTGGAAATTCACATACCCTTTTGAAATTCCTATTCTGTTGCCGTATTGTAGTGTGCTCTTGGGTAAACTACCTTGTATTTCTTTCTGAAGCTTACTTGTTTGTTTAGTCTACAAACTTCTGAGCTGAAGAAGTTGCCTGCCCTCTTGTGGCCATTTTGCCATTATGCACCATTGCCGTGGGTAGCAGGGTGGAATTTCCAAATTCAAATACTGCATTACAGAAGACCAGCCCCTCGTTGCACAGGCAGGCTGGAGAGAATGGCCTGGAGAGGTCAGAGACTTGTCCAGTGTCATCCATGTTAAATCCATAGTAATACCCAGGCTAGAGAACCCACACGGCCTGCCTGCCTGCCTGCCCACAGGTCCATCACTGGGCCAGATTGTTCCCGCACCTCACCCAGTCGATACTATCCAAGCTCAAAGGGACTGAAAGCAACTTTCCTTTGTTTAGTATTTATGTTATCATCCTACTGTGAGGTAGTTCAATGTTTAGAGAAGAGCTATAGGTTCTGAGGAGAGAAAACCTTGGACCTGAATTGGATACTAATCTGGACTGCAGATATAAGGGAAGTCAATCCTGCACCATTTTTCTGGGTGGGGAGGGTGAGTCACAGAGGCAGAACTCAGCATTTCAAACCTGGAGGTTAGAGGTAGGGGCTGGGGTGGAGAGGTTTGAGATTAGGAAGTCCAGGTGGGTCCTGTGGAGTTGGGGGGCTCTATAGCTGGGGGGATTATAGCTCAATTGGATAGGCATCTGAGGGTTGAGGAGGTGGAGAGCTGAGGTAAGTTGGGATGCCTGGGCACTCCAGGTAGGTCTGGGCATCCTGCTTAAAACCTTAGGCCCTATTTTGCTGCCAGAGTAGTTCAGGAACGCAGTAAACACCCGTCCTTGGTCCCTCCTACCTGCCTCTAGACTGGCTACTTGAGGCTTAGCTCTTCTGTTAATTTAGGCCTTCCTAGGCTATAAGGAGGATCTGTTTAGTAGCTCATAGAAAGAGAAGGGAGGAAAAGGGGGAAAGGTACAGAGAAATAAGAGAGAATAAGATGAAAATAGAGTGTTGTCAGTATGATCAGAGGGAGCATACTGTCCTCCGAGTGGGCCTGCAGCTTTAGTCAGCGCTCAGGGTAGAGGCAGAGATGAGACTGCTCCTGGCAGCTGTGGAGACAGCACCTGGTAGGATAGGGGTGTTGCTGGCCGGGATGGGTATATGTGAGCAAGTGTAAGGGCGTGCATTTAGGATGTGGGCAGTGAGGCTGAGCACCGGCAGCATAGGTGAGAAATGCTTGGGGTTTTGGGGGACCACAAATTCACTGTGCGCGCGGTACAAGGCACATGCTGGGTGTTCAGTGATATCTGCCTACTGAATGGAGGAATGAATGTGTAAACCCACAAGGAGATGTAACTTATTTTTTTTAAAGTGGGTAATTAGGTAATAGTAGGTAATTTAAAACATTATTTGATTCTTAGCAACCCTGTAAACAATGCCTTATTAACGATGTATCATTGCTTAGGCACTTGATCAGGGTCAGAGAGGTAATAAATGAATGGTAATATAAACCTAGTTCAGTCTAACTGCAGGGACTTCCAGGAGGTCTTCTCTGATTCTCCACTTCCCACTCTCACAGACCCTGCTTTCCTGGGAGAACAGGTTAGTGCTGCCTAGCTGCAGGGCCAACGTGCGAGTTTCTTATTGCTGCTGTGATGACTTACCATAAACTTAATTGCCTAAACAACACAAATGTGTTATAGTTCTGGAGATCACATGTCTGAAATCAATTTCATTGGGTTAAAGTCAAGGTGTTGACAAGCACCTGGTAGGATAGGGGTGCTTGCCTTCCTTTTAGAGATTCTAGGGGACAGTTCATTTCTTTACCTTTTCCAGGTTCTAGAGGCTGCTTGCATTCCTTGGTTCATGGCCCCTTCCTCCATCATCAAGCCAGCAGCATAGCATTTTCACCGCTCTGGCCTCTGCTTCCATTCTCGAATCTTCTTTCTCTAATTCTCCTGTTTCATCGTGATTACATATCCTTGTAAGTACATTGGGTCCACTGAGATAATCCAGGATCATTGTCCTATCTCAAGATCCTTAATTTAACCCTGTCTTCAAAGTCCCTTTTACCAGCTAAGGTGAGGTAGGAATTAGGACATGAGCATCTTTGGAGGTGAGGACATTATCCAACCACAGGCAGAGATGGAGGCTGAGCAGGAGGATGCACCCAGGCACAGCATGAGCATCTGTGCTTTGTGCAGCCTCCCTCAGCCCCGTGCCAAGGAGGAGGTGGCTAGGTCCAGGCCTCACGTCTGGGGAAAGGCAAGTGACTCCAGTGTCATCACTATCAGGAAGACGTGAGAGTGATGGCCAGACTTGAGAAAAATTCTCAATTTTTTGAACTTTTCAGGCCTGAGACTCTGTTAGTGGACACGATTGCCTCTTCTCCAGGACCATTCTGTGCTCCTCAAGGCAGGAGATAATTACCAGCAAACCAGCCTATGCTTTCTCTGGAAAGGGTAGATTTTTCTCCTTTTTAAAAAATTATTGGTTTTAGAAAGAGAGAGGAAGGGAGAGAAAAATATCAATTTGTTGTTCCACTTATTATGCAATCATTGGTTAATTTTTTAAATTTTATTTATTGCTTTTTAGAGAGAAACACCGATTTGATGTTTCACTTAATTATGCGTTCACTGGATGGTCCTTGTATGTGCTCTGACCAGGAATCAGACCAACAACCTTAGTCTATAAGTTTGATGCTCAGACAAACTGAGCTACCTGGCCAGGGCAACTTTCTCTTTTTTAAATTATTTTTTATTCCTTAAGAGTTAAACTCTCATCATCAGTTGATACTAGGTCTCTTTCTTGTTCTATTTGCTTTTCATCCCTAATCCTTAGTCTTCTCCCAGACCTAGGCATACACTCTAATGTGTTCAATATGTCTTTGTAATGTATGTGTCTTTAAATATATATGATCATGTGCTTATGCTTTCTAATATATATAAATGGTATACTTTTATAAGAAGTATGATAACTTTTATAATGAACTGCCCCATATTTCAGTGGTTTCACGCAAAAAAAGATTTATTTTCTACTCACACAGGAGCACAGGTGTCCTGGCTGGACAGCTGTCTTCCACTGTGCATTTCAGGTCCCAGTCTCCTTCCGTTTGAGGTGGTGGTAGCCTGATCCTGCATCAGAAGGTTCCCTGTCAGCTTTCCACCAAGTTGGTTTATCATCCATTAATGACCATTTTATTAATTGGTTATTTCACCAGCGATTACAAAATAATGACTTTATAATTCTATTATTTTTTCTTTTCTTATTTCTAATTCTGTAAAAAGCCTTTTTTTTCACCTCCTCTAGGACCATTTGGTTCCCCTGAAATAAAGTTCATACCAGAATGTCAACACTAATGCTTAAATCTCATTATTTATCTCTTTCAAAGTGGTAGGTTGATGTCCTAGCATCTTGGTGTTGATTTTGTTTCACTTTCTCTTTAAACTGTTGGGAACTTGTAGTTTTTATATACAGGGTCCAGCACAAATAACGCCCCTTTTTATTACAAAATCATAAGCATGTAATCAAAACAATATCACACTCAAGAACACCATATGACATTTTAGGTGAAATGTTCAAATTAAAACTAAATTGTTAGACCCATATTATTACTCTGCCAATCACGCTCAAGGAGGCATTACTTCTGCCAGACCCTGTATTTAATGTTTAATCATTTGTAGTCATTTTTGTTTTATATTATCTAAAATTTCAAGCATATACAAAAATATAGAAAATAATAAAATGAATTTCCGGGTACCCATCACTCAGCTTTAAAAATTATCAACTCATGACCTATCTTGGTTTATTTATTCCCTCAACTACTCTCCCCCTAACTGAGGTTATTTTGAAACAAACCTCAAAATAAAATTCCAATTCACATGTAAATGTTTTAGTAAGTATCTCTAAAAAATAAGGACTTTTATTGCCATAATTGCACCTAAAATTAATAATTTCTCAATATAATAAAATATAGTTTTTGTTCAATTTTCCCCACTTGTTTTAGTGTCGGGGTTATGCTGGCCTCTTAAAAGAGTTAGGAATTGTTTGCTCTTCCCCTGTTTTCTAAAAGCATTTGTATAAGATTGGCGGTATTATTCAGTATTTGATAGAATTTATCAGTGAAATAGGGGGGAGACCGGGCGGGGGGGGAAGAGAGAAAAATGTATTGAAAATAAAAATAAAAAATAAATAAAAAAATAAAGGTGGGCTGTTTTTCTAAATCAAAAAAAAAAAAATTTATCAGTGAAATAATCAGGCCTGGAGTTTTCTTTATGGGGAGGTTTTTTATAACAAATTCAATTTCTTTGATACATATAAGGCTATTCAAACTTTTATTTATTTATAAAAATTTTATTTAGTTATTTTCCAAGTATAGTTTTTTGTCTATTTCTCCCATCCCAGCCCACCCCCCTCCCTGTCTCCCCACCTCCCTCCCATTTCCTCCCCCCCAATCCTCATCCCTGTGTCTTTCATACTTATTCCTCAAAATCCCTCCCCTTTTTCCCCCTTAAATTCCCTTCCCTCTCCCCTCTGGTCACTGCCCACTTGTTCTCTATTTCAGTGTCTTTGTTTTTATTCTGTTTGCTTGTTTGTTTTGTTGTTTAGCTTCCTTTGTTGTTTAGCTTTCTGTTGTTTAGCTTTCTGTTTGTTTTGTTGTTTAGCTTCCTGTTAAAGGTGAGATCATATGGTATTTGTCTTTCAATGCCTGGCCTATTTCACTCAGCATAATGCTTTCCAGTTCCATCCATGTTGTTGCAAAGGGGAGTAGCTCCTTCTTTCTCTCTGCTGCATAGAATTCCATTGTGTATATGTACCACTATTTTTTGATCCATTCATTTACTGACGGGCACCTAGGTTGCTTCCAACTCTTGGCTATTGTAAATTGTGCTGCTATGAACATTGTGGTGCATAGGTTCTTCGAAATTGATGTTTTAGGATTCTTGGGATATAATCCTAGCAGTGGAATTGTTGGATCAAAAGGCAGGTGTATTTTATTCAAACTTTTAATTTCATTCTGAGTTAGTTTTGATAAGTTGTATTTCTCAAGGAATTGTCTATTTTATCTAAGTTATTGAATTTATTAGTGTGGAAATGTTCATAACACTCTATTGTTATTCTTTTAAAAATGACTCATAAAACACAAATGTAGAAAACACAAAAAACAAGTGTAAGGCTTAATGAATAATTCTAAAGCAAATGCTTCTGTTACCACTGCTATGTAAAGAACTAGAACTGGCCCTGGCTGGTGTGGCTCAGCGGACTGAGTGCTGGTCTAGAAACCCAAGGGTGGTTGATTCTATTCCTCGTCAGGCACATGCCTGGGTTGCAGGCCAAGTCCCTGATTGGGGGTGCATGAGAGGCAACTGGTCCATGTATCTCTCACACACTCAGGTTTTTCTCCCTCCCTTTCCCTCTCTTTCTAAATAAATAAAATCTTTGAAAAAATAAATAAAAATATGTCCTGGCTGGTGTGGTTCAGTGGATTGAGCATCAGACTATGAACCAAAGGGTTGCTGGTTCCATTCTCAGGTCACGTGCCTGGGTTGCCAGCCAGGTCCCCAGTAGGGGGCATGTAGGAGGCAACCACGTATTGATATTTCCCTCTCTTTCTTCCTCCCTTCCCCTCTGTCTAAAAATAAATAAATAAAATATTAAAAAAAATAAAAACAGCCCTGGCTGGTGTAGCTCAGTAGATTGAGCACGGGCCTTTGAACCAGAGAATTGTGGTTTGATTCCCAGTCAGGGCACATGCCTGGGTTGCAGGCCAGTTCCCAGCAGGGGACTCACAAGAGGCAACCATACATTGATATTTCTCTCCCTCTCTTCTTCCCTTCCCCTCTGAAGATAAATAAAATAAATAAAATCTTTTTAAAAAAGAAAAACAATAGCTAGGTCTTTAAGTTTCTTATCCTATAAAGTCTTCCCTTCATACCTTTCTTAATTTTTTATAATTTATTTGTGGGTGAATCTTGGCCATTTGACTGGTATAATTTACTATAGTCTGGATTTGGCTCATTACATCCTACCATGCAGTTTTAAACGTTCCTGTATCCACAGTATTTCCTGCAAATTGGCAGCTGGATTCAGAGGTTGGATCAGACTCAGATTTGATCACTTTGGCAAGACTGTAAGTGGCATATAAACCTCGCTGTCTCTGTGTTTGTGATTTTCTTTTTCAGGTGCTGATGCTTATTGCCTGTGTGCATTAATCCACTGAGGGCTGCAAAATGGTGTCATGAATTCTATTATTTCCTTTCATTTATTATTTGAAATTATTTTATAAAGAGAAATATTCTCTTATCTACTGGTTAGTTTCTGAGAGGATCATCCCTGTAGGAAAAGCAGAATAAATGCTTGAGTCTTTCTATTTTCACCAATTTTCAAGGATTCCTGTTATCCTCAGAAGGTGACTATTTTAAAAAATATCATTATAGACTTGTGGATTTATATATATTGTATGGGTTTCCATTCATTGGAATTGTCACTGTTGAAGTGCCAAGTGCCCCAACTTTGGCCAGAGGAGTCTCATCAAGTTGGCTCCTGAGTCCTTTTGATATGAGATGCTGATTCTACACCGGTCTGGTGGCTACTGCATGTTTGTCCCCTCTCGCTTGTATTTTGGGCTTGTGGAGAAACGTTGTAATACATTTGGTTGTAAAATGTTGTCCATGTTTTTTTTGAAATTTTGCTGTCCAGTCAGTGTCAGTTTTTCTGTGGGGATCTGAAGGTAGTGAAAAATTGGGCTGCCACCATAGTCATTATCTTCCCAGAATCCTCTTTTTTCTCCTTTCATGTCTATAGGATCTGTAGCAACATCCTCTCTCTCTCTCTCTCTCTCTCTCTCTCTCTCTCTATATATATATATATATATATATATATATGCCTCTGTGTGTGTATATATATATACACACATATATATGTAAATTTGTGCTTCTCCATTTTATTCTTGATTAATCTTGCTAGGAGTTTATCCATTTTACTAATCTTTTTAAAGAACCAATTAACTTTTGGCTTTTTAAAATTTTCTCTATTTTTGTTTCATCATATATTCTCATCTTTATTATTTCTTTTATTTTAGCTTTAATTTGCTCATCTTTTTAGTTTCTTAGGTGGAAACTTACATCATTGATTTGAAGGCTCTATTTTTTTTATAATATAATATAATGTAAATTTCTCTCTAAGCACTGCTTTACCTACATCTTATGTTTTTTATCTTGTATTTATTTTCAGTTTTAAATGTTTTATAATTCCCTTTGCTATTTCTTCTTTGGCCCATGAGTTAATTAGAAGTATGGTTTACTAAATATTTGAGGCTTTTTAGAAATCTCATTTGTATTGATTTTTAATATACTGCAGAGGATATACTATGTACAATGTCAATTTTTTAAAAAGATTTTTTAATAAATATTTTATTTATTTATTTTTTGAGAGAGGGGAAGGGAAGGAAAAAGAGTGGGAGAGAAATATCAATGTATGGTTGCCTCTCATTTGTCCCCTGCTGGGAACCGGCCTGCAATCCTGGTATGTGCCCTGACTGGGAATCGAACCGCAATTGTCTGGTTTGCAGGCCCGCACCGCAAATGTCAATTTTTAAAATTTTATTGAGACTTGCCTTACAGCCCAGAAGATAGCCTAATCAGATGAGTTTTCCATATCCCCTTAAAAAGAATGTGCATTTTCCAGTTGTTAGGTATGATGTTCTGCAAATGTCAGTTAAGTCAAGATGGTTAATATTATTGGTCAAGTCTTCTTTATCCTTGATGAATTATTGTCTGCTTGTTTTAGCAACAGATGAGACATATAGAAAACAAATAGCAAATGGCAGTCTTAAATCCAAAATTAACAATAGTTAAATTAAATGTAAGTGGACTAAACACTGCAATTAAAAACAGAGACTGTCAGTCTGAAGAAAAAGCAGAATCCAAGTATATGCTGCCTACAAGAAATGTACTTCAAATACAAAGATACAGATAAAGTGGAAGTAAAAGGCTGGGGAAAATGTACTACATGAAGGCTAATCCAAGGAATGTTGGAAATTAGGCAAAATAAACTTCAGGACAGGGAGTATTACCAGAGAAAAAGGACATTTTATAATGATAAAAGGATCACTATATGAAGACTTAAAAATTTAAACTGTTTATGCACCTAATTAAAGAGCTTTCAAATTATATGAAGAAAAACTGGCATAACTAAAGGGAAGAACTGAAATCCACAAGCATGAATGGAAGTTTCAACACCCCTCCTTCAATGATGATGGAATGAGTATTGTACTACTTCACATAAAGTCTAGGACTCTAGTTCCATTTGCTCCCTCTTGCGCAGTCCTTTGAGCTGTTGTTGTCAGATGTACCACAGCTACATGTTACAAGTCCCAAAACATAGTGTTTGTTTTAATACATCACATGCATGTTATTTTAAAGATTTTATTTATTTATTTTTATAGGGGAAGGGAGGAAGAAAGAGGGAGAGAAACAGCAATGTGTGGTGTCCTCCTGCATGCCCCCTACCTGCGACCCAGCCCTGCAACCCAGGCATGTGCTCTAGACTGGGACTGGAACCTGCAACTCCTTGATTTGCAGGCTGCCACTCAGCCACTCAGCCACACCAGCTAGGGTCATCATATGCATTTTAAAGAGATTAAAAGAAGAAAAATACTTTTTAAAGCCAGACTTATTAAAAAAAAGATTTTATTTATTTATTTTTAGAGAGAAGGGAAGGGAAGGAGAAAGAGAGGGAGAGAAATACCAATGTGTGGTAGCTTCTCAAGTGCTCCCCACTGGGGACCTGGCCCACAACCTAGGCATGTGCCATGACTAGGAATCAAACCAGTGACACCTTGGTTCACAGCTTGCCCTCAATCCCCTGAGCCACACCAGCCAGGGCTAAAGCCAGACTTTTATATTAACCAACAATAATTAGTTTCCTATGGTTGCTGTAACAAATTACCACAAACTTAGTGGTATAAAACAACACCTACCTAACAATTTTGGAGGTTAGGGGTTTTAAATGCATCTCATTAGGCCAAAATCAAGGTGCAAGTGGATTGCATTCTTTCCGGGAGGCTCTCTGGGAGTCTGTTTCCTTGCATTCTCCAGCTTCTAGAGGCCATC